GGTGGGTCTGGAACAGCTTGGCCACGTTGCCGCCTTTTGCCGCCTCGTTGCCGCCTCGTGCTCTGGGTGGGTCTGGCGAGGTTTCGCCACGTTACCGCCCGTTGCCTCCTGGTTGCTTCCTCGTGCTCTGGGTGGGTCTGGCGAGGTTTCGCCACGTTGCCGCCCGTTGCCGCTTCATGTCGCTTTCTAAGTTGCACCGCGCCTCATCGCTTACAAATCCAGATTGCAATGCCTTAGTGTTTGTGGTCCGCGTTGGGTAACATTTGTTGCGGCATTTGTGGACCAGGATCGATATGTGATGGTCCTGGGGCCCGACATGGGGCAAAATCGCTATGTGAAGAAACTGCCACGCCAGTGTACTCAGGGTCGATGCGTCCCCCCCGATAATATCCCCAACGTTGCCCCTGACTGGTCCCGGATGTCGGGTCATAACCCGGCCCATTCGGGACGATTTGCGCACCCCTGGAGCGCCGTCGGCGAGGCGCTGATGTCGGAAAGCGCCCCGTGGCTAGAACACAACGGAGAAACGGCGAACACGTATGAAAAACCGGAACCTCGAATCCGTAACGCTACACCAAAACAGGGGTCAACAGTCGATCCCTGGACCTCTCATCGGTTGCGTTCTGGCCAGCATTTCGAAACGGATACAGACGTGGCCGCCAGGGCGCCCCAAGAGGACCAAACGCCTCCAGGAAGCGAACCTCGACCCTCGATCCTTGGAGCCTGTTCCCGTCGCTCTCGAACCCCCCCGCCCATATTCTTTGCCCCGCGGCTCTCTGGTGGTCGCTCGGGACGACACGCGCAGCCCCGAAACTAGGAGCCATAAGAAACACACAGCAATAAAGTTCACACAAAGGGCTTTGGCACCACCAGCGGTGCAACGCATGTGCGCACATGCCACTGGATCCCCAACGATCCGAACCAGGGTTGATGTACGGCCGTGCTCTAAGATGCAGTTGACATGTACGGTGTGGCGTCGCTGTCGGCGGCGACAAGATCCCAAGCTCCTCTACGAACAAACATTCCATGGTGATTTGGCACAACCAAACCACCGTGCAACGTCAGTTTGTTCATCCGTTGACAGCATCACGCGTCGCGGCAGCAGAAGGCAGTAGCGCGCGCGGGCATGCAGGGCCGGCGATGTGGCTGGCCAGCTGCCAGCGCAGCTGCGTCGCACTGCCAGGCGCCGCGGCCTTGTGTGTGTAGCGCTCGGCCCCGTGCGTTCCTCGAGGCGGGAAAGCAAGCTCTACACAAAAGAATCGCGCGTGCTCTTGTGGGGACGGCGAAAACGATCGTACACACAGGCAATTCTTTTGTGTGCGCCCGGCGTTGGCAGTGTAACCGGACCGCACACAAAAGAATTACACGATACTTCGTAGTATACAAAGGAATTGCAGCAACGCCCTTTGGGTTGCGCTCTTCGCGCGCGGTGACAGCTCCGAGCTGGAAAGGAAGGGGGGGCGGGACAAGGCAAAGCAGGGAAAGAGGAAAAGGAAGAGGAGGGCGAGAAAGAAGCAAAGAAAACAGACTTCTTGGGAATGAGACTCGCGCTCTTCTCCCAACCCCCTTTCCCACACCCCGTTGCGAGCGCGCGATGATTTGTTTTGGCCCGCGGGCAACGGACTGCCAGTTGCTGGTGAGCGGCCTTTCCACCCGTCGCGCGTTCCGAACAAATGCGACCAGCTAAATGCACTTGCCACGCAAACCGCCAGCTCCAAATACCGACGCCACCCCGATCCCCGCATCCGTGCCAGGCACCCTCTCAACCACGCCCCCTTCCGGCGTAAAACCAATACAACCCTTTTTGTGTTTATGTGTTTGTTTTTTTCCTGTTCTGAGGAACGCCCTCGACGAGGCGCGGCCGACGGGGAGCACCCTGGGCCTCGACAAATTCCCCGAACACTGTCTCGCACCTCGAGCCTGCCCGGCCCTGAACCCATCCCCCGCCCTAACGCTACCCTCGACCTCGAGGCCAATCCTGCAGCAGGGACCGGCGACGGTCCGGGCACTCCTACGGGCCCATCAGTTCTTAGAGCGAAAGGCTGTTCCAACAACCGAAACAGCGTTCTCAGAGCAGAGCGCCGATGCATCGAAGCAAGAGAGCCTCAACCAGAAATGCTCAAGGAACACCTAATGCCAACCACAAAAAGGTCATCCGAACAGTTTCTGGTGGGTCTATACGAGAAGGCTGGTACCACTAAGGGCTAGAACCACTGCGGGCAGAGTGGTTAGCGCACAACCAACCCGTATAACAAGGACGCTCGAAAAGGATGCAAGGGCCCTTGGAAGGTCATGTCGGCACCTTGCGAGTGGAGCGCGGCCAGCGAAAGCGGCCGAGGATGCGCCGACGGGGAAGGACGGAAGGGGCAACCTTGGAAAGCCGCTCATCCTTACTCTGCGGGTTGATTGTATAGAGGAAGAAACAACGGCACAAACATGCTCCGCGCGGATTTCTTGGATCTGCGCTGGGCACCCCTCCCTGGCGCGCGGAGCGCGCCAGGGGCGGCGATGGAGGCGCCGCTGCGTCATTATGTATATGGCGTCTGTATGGTGTTTTCTGCTTCGATTGCAAGGGAAGTTGCGCCCGCGCGGGCCTCTTCGAAAATTATCCTGGCGAGGGACCCAACCATGTGAAGTTGTGAGTGACGCAGTTGTGGGTATCGACCTCGGTGAACCTCTCTGGGGTCACGACGCGTGTGACGGGTGTGCCAAAATTGGCACGGGTACGCCATGCGGACGCTGCCACCAGAGCCGTCGGTGGAGCACCCTATGGGGCCGCGGAACGTGCAAGGGGTGCGCCGAAATGGGGGGTGGAACTGCATGCGGACCCTGCCACTGGGGCCTTCGGCGGAACACCCTATAGGGCCACGAAACGTGTGAGGGGTGTGCCGAAATGGGGGGGTGGAACCGCATGCGAACGCAGCACTGTGGCCTTCTGTGGAGCTTCCTATGGGGCCACGAAACGTGTGAGGGGTGTGCCGAAATGGGGGTGGAACCGCATGCGGGCGCTGCCGCTGGGGCCATCGGTGAAACACCATATAGGGCCACGAAACGTTCGAGGGGTGCGCCAAAATTGAAGTGGAACTGCATGCGGACCCTGCCACAGGGGGCCTTCGGTGAAGCACCCTATAGGGCCACGAAACGTGTCAGAGGTGCGCCGAAATGGGGGTGGAACTGCATGCGGACCCTGCTACTGGGGCCTTGGGTGGAGCACCCTATGGGGCCGCGAAACGTGTGAGGGGTGTGCCGAAATGGGGGTGGAACTGCATGCGGATCCTGCCACAGGGGGCCTTCGGTGAAGCACCCTATAGGGCCACGAAACATGTGAGAGGTGCGCCGAAATGGGGGTGGAACTGCATGCGGACCCTGCCACAGGGGGCCTTCTGGTGTGCCGAAATGGGGGTCGAACTGCATGCGGACCCTGCTACTGGGGCTTTCGGCGGAGCACCCTATGGGGCCACGAAACGTGTGAGGGGTGTGCTGAAATGGGGGTGGAATTGCATGCGGACCCTACCACTGGGGCCTTCGGCGGAGCACCCTATGGGGCCACGAAACGTGTGAGGGGTGTGCTGAAATGGGGGTGGAACTGCATGCGGACCCTGCAACTGGGGCCTTCGGCGGAGCACCCCATAGGGCCACGAAACGTGTGAGAGGTGCGCCGAAACGGGGGTGGAACTGCATGCGGACCCTGCCACTGGGGCCTTCGGCGGAGCATCCTATAGGGGCCACCACAGGTGTGAGGGGTGCGCCGAAATGGAGGTGGAACTGCATGCGGACCCTGCCACTGGGGCCTTCGGTGGAGCACCCTATAGGGCCACGAAACATGTGAGGGGTGCGCCGAAATGGGGGTGGAACTGCATGCGGACCCTGCCACTGGGGCCTGGGTGGAGCACCCTATGGAGGCCACGAAACATGTGAGGGGTGCGCCGAAATGGAGGTGGAACTGCATGCGGACCCTGCCACTGGGGCCTTCGGTGGAGCACCCTATGGGGCCACGAAGCGCTGTACTGGTGGGTGAAACGCAGGAAGGAGGGAGAAGGGGGAGGAGGGAGGGGGCAGCGGGAGGAAGGTGGGAACGCGGGGCGCTCTCTTCAAAACGAGGACCCAACACCACAGGATGGTTGGGAACAAGACGAAGGGAACCTGCGCCCTGGGGCGGGCTCCGCGAGGCCTCCTATGGGCGGGCTTGTGCGTGGCCCTGGACGGGAAGCACGAGCAGAGGCTCACTCGGAGGGGCTGCCCCTCCCTTTTCCGAGCTCGGTCGAAGGGCAACGATAGGGGGGGGGCTCAGTGCGGCCCGACGACGGAACGGCAGCCGCAGCCCAGACCGGGCCCAGCCCGCACGTGTTCGAGTAGAAGATCGACTACGGAGTTGATTAGATACACCAGAAACATGCAGTCAACATATCTACGAACGTCCTGCGCATCTTCTCGTGGATCCAGCGAAACAATCAACTTTGGGAACAATCAATTCTGCAATCGACCTCCTATTCGAAGGGTGCGCCTTGAGAGCCGCACCCGATGACAGCCACACCCTTCGGAGCCGCCGAGCAGGAGCTCGACCTCTGGCCCGGCCCGCCGAGTCAGCCGAGGCTGCCGTCCGATCTCTCGCACGCCCTCCGCCTGGCAGCCTTCCCGGCGGCGCTCGGGCGGCTGCTTTTGGCGGCGCGCAGGGGGGGGAGGGGAGGGGGGAAGGCTTCTTGGAATGAGGCTGCTTCTTAGAGGGCGACGGGCCTACATCTACAGACAAGGCCCCCGCCTTCCAAGAAGCAGGTGTACTTCTAAGCGGGGACGCTCCGCCACTGCTTAACTTGAGTCGGGCGTGTCCCTCTACAGGAGGAACATTCAAAAGCAGTAGAACAATAGTCTGGGGACGAGTTTGGGACAACCTTGGACTGTTTTTGGATATCTTTGACCATTATTGACTTTGCGTCCAAAATCCGCCTGTGGGGGGACATGCCCGACCTAATGCTTGACTCCCGCCCCCCCTCGACGGCGACCCGGCGTGCTGGCGGGCAGCTGCTCCTCCGCGGGCTCGACCACCATGTGGGGGTCCAAGGGGCCGTCGTGCGGCGCGAGCCAGCCGCTCCTGCGCGGGAGGGCCGCCTCTTCCTCCTCCTCCTCCTCCTCCTCCTCCTCTCCTCCTCCTCTCCTCCTCCTCCTCCTCCTCCTCCTCTCCTCCTCCTCTCCTCTCTCTCATCCTCCTCCTCCTCCTCCTCCTCTATCTTCTCCTCCTCCTCCTCCTCCTCCTCCTCTCCTCCTCCTCCTCCTCCTCCTCCTCCCTCTCTCCTCCTCCTCCTCCTCCTCCTCCTCCTCCTCCTCCTCCTCCTCCTCCTCCTCCTCCTCCTCTGGGGGGGGACACGAATTTGCCGTCGCTCGGACAGGTGAACGCTTTCGTATCCGGCGTCTCCACGTTGGGCGAACGGGGGGGGGGAGTGGAGGGGGTTCCTGGCTCCAGACCTCTGCTTCGTGCGACAATTTTTGCAACAGTGCGTCTCACGGGGGAGGCCTCACCTGCTTGAAACCGGCGCCCAAAACAGCCAAGGTCTAATCCATGGGGGGGTGCGAGGGCACGCGCTGATCGGCAACGCAATGAGCCAGAAAACGATCACATGCATGCTTCTGTTAAGTCGGGCGTGTCCCCCTACAGGGGGATTTTGGGCCAAACATTTTAAACATACTCAGATCATACCCCCAAATTGCTCAAACATGCCCAACAAATGTCCCCAGACATATATGTATATTGTTTTTACTGTTTTTGAAGTTTCCTCCTGTAGAGGGACAGGCCCGACTTGATGCTTCTGCTCCTTGCTTGCCTCCTCTTTCGCAAGGTGGCCCAATCTGCCCCCAGGAGTGCCCCGATGCTCTGGCCCTGAGCTCGCCGAGCGACAGAGTGCACGCGTGCGAGCGAGGCCAGGCGAAAAGGGACCGGGCTCCGACAAAGAACCTCTTGTTAAGTCAGGCGTGTCCCCCTACAGGGGGGTTTGGGGCGAAACATGTTAAGACATACTCAATAAATATCCCCAAATGGGCCAACAATGCTAACAAAGTAGTCCCCAGACTATTGTTTGACTATTTTTGAAGATTCCCCCTGTAGAGGCACAGGCCCGACTCAGACCTCTTGCCCGAGAAAGGAACAACTTTTTCCGTCGGCGGCGAGGCAAGGGCGGTCCGCTCCAGCCTGTGGCTCACCGGGGCAACCGACATGCGAGCTGTCCGGCGCGCAAGAGGGAGGAAAGAAGACGAGGGCGGCCGCGGGGGGGGAGGGGGGTGGGAAGCGCTCAGGCGCTGAAGAGCTCCGCGAAGAGCAGGCCAGAGCGGCTGAGAAGAGGAACGAACAATGGCATCAAGCATGCTTTCTCGAAGGGCCGCGCGGATTTCTTGGATCGGCGCTGGGCCCTCCTCCCTGGCGCGCGGAGGGCGCCAGGGCCTGCGCTGGAGGCGAAGCCAGGGAGTCCAAGCGCTGATCCAAGAAATCAGTGCGGAGCTCAAAGAAATTCGACCGCGTCAGGTTTCGGAACTACGCTAGGCTCAGAGGAAAAGCATGGTGGGGGCTCAGAGCCCAGAGCTGGGTGGCCCTCGGGGTTACGCCGAAAGCTGGGGAGGAAGGAAGGGAGGGGGGGGGGCGGGACGAGGGAGATGGGGGAGACGATAGGGGAGAGGGCTTGAGACACCTCCGCCTGGACAGGTTCGCAGGTTTGTTGCCCTCCGCTCATTTGGGTTCAGTCGGGTTTCTCCTGCTCGGGGAGGGGGAGGGGAGAGAGGAAGAGTGGGACACCGAGATCCTGGCGGTAAAATTTGTCAGCATCCGGCGATTTCAGCCTATGTCGGGCCCCGATCTGGGTCGAGAAATACAACACGAGGATTAGGTGTAGGCCTCCGTTGCGACTTCGTACAGTGCTGCAATTTCTTCGTGGCATCAGTTTTCAGGGGAGGGGCGAGCGGTGTGGAAAGGGCTCAGGACTCCTCCTCCCCCATCTCCCCATCGTCCTCCTCCCCCTCCCTCTTCCTCTCTCCCCCTCCTCCTCCGTCCTCCGTCTGCTGCTGACACTCCTCCTTCCCCATCACCTCGATCGGGCGGAAGAGGAGGGAAGCTAACAGGAGGGGGATGCTAATGGAATTGAGGGAGAACAAAGAGAGGAAGGGAAGAGGAGGAAGAAAAGACAACAGGACATAATCTGGAAGAGGGGAAGAGGCAGGACCCCCAACGACTCGACAAACAAACGACTGTTGTATGTACACCGATTTCGGCCTACGGGGGGTGGGTTCGGGGATCCGAGGCCAATGAGAAACTGGCTCCGGGGATGGGGCCGAGAGGTCTCGGGGCCCACGTCGCGAGCAGAATATGACGCGCATCTTGGCTGAAACACCTGAAGTACACATCGTATGTAAATAGGGTCGGCGAAATGCGCTGTGACTGCAGCGCTACTCTTACTTACGCTGGTTGAGTACCCTGGGCTGACAGTGGTCCGATGTTGAACGGGAAGACGTAGTATGTGGGAAGGACTCAAACATCGGATGAGATCTGCAACTTGGCAAGAATTCAAAATGGAATTGTTGGCGGCATCTTTTCGCCGCGTCCTTCTCCGAGATCAGACGTCGCGAACAAGCACAACGTCTGGAATCAACGACATGACCGCTGTTGGAGACCTCTCAAACGGGGTCTGAACAAACGGGGTCAGAAGATCGCGCTGCATCGCCGATACATCGGCGATGCACCGGCGACTGGCGACGCCGGGAATGCATCGGCGCCGTCGGCGGGGACAAACTCGGGCTCCACATCGACCCGCATTGGCGATGCATCGGCGATGCGGCACGATCCTCTGACCCCATCTACAGTTGGACCTAGGCCAGAAGAACACTCCTCAGCAACATGAGACCCTTTATCGGACAAAACACACACAGACCATCTGAGTGTACCCTCCTCAAGGGTGCACAAGAACGCCCAACAAACACGAAGAGCACTAGGGTGTCCTCCCCGAACCGACCTCGATCTTAGACCTCGGTCCGACTGCACCCGGACCTCACCTGAGAGGCCTTACAGTGGAGCCCAGTCCAACAGAAACCATCCGCAAGAAACCCAACCCTGAGGCCCCAGGACGTCCAGCGATTTTTGGTGTGGGAACGTCACGCTTTCCATGGCACGACCATCGAAACCCGAGAAACCAAGGGCGCCCTGGAGGCAAGCAGGATGTTTCTTGGCATGGGTCTCCACTGTGACCCTGACGTCTGGTATCTGACATCTGTGCCTTAGGGTTGTGCCTGACGTCTGGTATCTCCAGGGCCCCTCAGCGGGGCCCCGAGCGGTGCAGGGGCGCTGGGGCCGGGTGTGCTCCTCTTGCTGCTCTGCTTGACCCCCGGATGTGACATGTGACCGCCCCCCCACCCCTCGGTCTGATTTTCGGTCCTCCTCCTCCTCCTCCTCCTCCTCCTCTCCGCGCCCCCTCCCCCCCGGCATGGGTCCTGGGAGGCCACCTGTCCGAGGGCGATCCGAGGTGGCGGACCCACACGTCCTGGCCGCCGAGCGCAGGCCCGATCCACCAGCCGGAGAAGTCGGGGCCGTCGCGGTCGTCCCAGAAGTAGATGAAGGACTCGAAGCCTCGGGGCAAACGGCCTCCCCGACGGGGTCAGGGTGGACGGGGTCGGAGGATCGCGCCGCCCCGGCGATACCTCGGCGATACATCGCCGATGCATCGGCGATGCATTGGCGACGTCAGCGATGCATCGGCGCCGTCGGCGTGGAGAGAATCGGGCTCCGCATCGAGCCGCATATGCGATGCATCGGCGAAGCGGGAATGGGGTTTCAGGGGAGGGGCGAATGGCGCACGCCTGGGCGGAACACGCCCGCACGGCCCCAAGGCTGCCCCAAAGGAGCCCAAGAAGGCCCAAGGAAGTCCTCGACAGCTTCCGTTCCGTTCCCGTGCCAGCCCAGCGTAATGCAGCGTGATGCGGCGTGCGCAAAGCACGGTGGCGGATTTTCTACTTTCACACCCCGCGTCGGATCGGGAAATCGGGTTGGGTCGGCGCGCGCGTCGGCTCGGGGCGCATCGGCGCGGGGCCTAAATCGCATCGAGATGAACGACTCGAAACTTTGGAGGGTCGGCGTCGGATCGGGAAATCGGGTTGGGTCGGCGCGCGCGTCGGTTCGGGGCGCATCGGCGCGGGGCCGAAGTCGAATCGAAGCGGCCGCGCCAGAGCGCACGGCGGTGCCATGCATCGGGCCGCATCAGATCACCAGAAAATCGGAATCGGGTCGGATCGCTCGTGTGAATGACTCGACGTCCTGGGGCCTGCCGAGTGTGGATTCAGGGAGCTCGGACCTCCTAGGCGCACTCCAGAACTGGCCAGCAACACTGGCAAGGGGCGGGCAGTACAGGTAACGATGCAGAGGCGGCATTGGTGAGGTATGGGCAAACTGTCCTGCGAAGATACGGTGATCTCCAGACCCCGGCGTCATGCCTTTGTTTGTCGCCACAGCGGGGGTCCCTGAACATCTCGACCTATTCCCTATTCCCTGAACATCTCGACCTATTCCAGCGTATATTTTTTCGACTGTCCTGGGGCCTGGCGAAAGCCCCCAAAACCACAACATGGCAAAACACCTGCAGCCGTGATTTTTGTTTTCCCTTCGCGAGGGGGTCTGTCTCTTACCAGTCTGAAACACATCCCTATCCCTGTGTTTGGCATCACCTCACCTCGATGCCGATCTTAAGGATTCCCTCAGTTTCTGAGGGCACATCCCTAAGATTGTCCTCGCTTCTTGCTTGCCCAACTTAGAGATAGGGATACGATCGAGGCTGGTTAGTCTAGGCCTCCCAGATGGGGTCGGAACATATGGGTCGTAGTATCGCGCCGCATCGCCGATGCATCGCATATGCGGCTCGATGGGGAGCCCGATTTGCTTCACGTCGACGTCGCCGATGCGTCGACGACGTCGACGGTGCATCGCCAACGCATCGCCGATACATCACCGACGTCGCCGATGTACCGGCGATGCGGCGCGATCCTCCGACCCCATCTACTCGGACCCCATCTCGGAGGCCTCTAGTCTGGGATTCTGGTCCTGTCACCGCGTGCAATGCTCACAGTCTTGAGCCACCTCCGCTCTCGGAGGTTCCCCGGGGGCCGCCCAGAGTGTTGTGTGGAGCGCCCGCGCCCGCCCTGCTCCTCCCCTCCTCTCGTTTCTGCCTAGGGGCCTCCTGGATGGAGTGGGAGTAGATGGAGTCGATAGATCGCGCCGCATCGCCGATGCATCGCCGATGTGTCGCCGATGCATCGCCGATGCATCGTCGACGCCGGCGTGGAGAAAGCCGGGCTCCACATCGAGCCACCGCCGATGCATCGGTCATGCGGCGCGATCCTCCGACCCCATCTGCTCGGACCCCATCTAGGGGGCCTAGACTGCCCCCCCTTTCTTCAGTGGTGGCCAGGGTGGTTTGGGGCAGGTCGTCGATCGGCGGCGAGCGAGGGGGGAAGGTGAGGAGAAGGCCTCCTCAGAGTGGCGGCGGGACTTCTCAGAAGCCCCTTGCACCAATTGAGAAGCTCTAGGTGAACTCGGGGAAGGCCGGGGGGGGTCCGAGCCTTCTGAGAAGGCCCGCCTCTTCTCATTTCCCCCCCCGGGGCTCGCCGCCGAATCGAGCGAGTGGAGCAGAGGGAGGCGTGGGCTCGTGGAAGGGGAGGATGACAAGGGAGGACGAGAGGGGGCGGGGAAAACAACTAAGTGCGGTCGCGACACGTCTGAAATCCAATCCCTCCCTCTTATCCTTTCCCATGGCGCTGGTTTTTCGCTATCCGCGGACGAGCAATCACAGCCGACCTGGAGCTCCAAACAAGAACCGATCGTCTCATGCGCAATCGAAGAAATTGAAGCCGAGTGCACGAGGGGACGAGGAGGAGGAGGAGTTGGTGGCGGGTGCACAAGGGAATGCGCACGAGGAAGGGGAGTATGAGGAACGAGGAGGAAGAGGACGAGCAGCAGCAACAGCAGAAACTGGAGTGGAAGGAGCGGGAAGAGTAGGACCAGGGGAAGGCCGAGAAGGGGAACTGGGGGGGCCACGAAAATAAAAAAGGACTCGGATTCAGAACAGTGGCCCCCGCTGGGTGAGAGCGCTTTCCTGAAACGACCTATCAAAAATGAGGCCGACGCTGCAGCAAGAACACTATGCTGAAACACCGCATGCAATCGGACTGCAAACAACGTATACATATAAACTTACTTACTTGTTAAACTCCTACGTAAGAGAAAAGATGCGGAGAGGGCCAAGCATCTTCCCGACAGAGTCACGGGTGAGAGGAATAGAAGCCCCGTGTCCCTGGGCATAGGCCCACGGAGACAATACAATGCGGGGTTCCGGGGGGCTGGTGAATATTTTCCCGGGCAGGTCGCAGCATTTTGCCTGGGGTTCGCAGCAAAAGTAATAGTAGTAGTAGTAGTACTAGTAGTTGCCGTAGTAGTACTTGCCGTAGTAGTAGTAGTAGTAGTAGTAGTGGTAGTAGTAGTAGTAGTAGTAGTAGTCGTAGTAGTAGTAGTAGTAGTAGTAGTAGTAGTAGTAGTAGTAGTAGTAGTAGTAGTAGTAGTAGTAGTAGTAGTAGTAGTAGTAGTAGTAGTAGTAGTAGTAGTAGTAGTAGTAGTAGTAGTAGTAGTAGTAGTAGTAGTAGTAGTAGTAGTAGTAGTAGTAGTAGTAGTAGTAGTAGTAGTAGTAGTAGTAGTAGTAGTAGTAGTAGTAGTAGTTAGTAGTAGTAGTAGTAGTAAGTAGTAGTAGTAGTAGTAGTAGTAGTAGTAGTAGTAGTAGTAGTAGTAGTAGTAGTAGTAGTAGTAGTAGTACGTAGTAGAGTAGTAGGTAGTAGTAGTAGTAGTAGTAGTAGTAGTAGTAGTAGTAGTAGTAGTAGTAGTAGTAGTAGTAGTAGTAGTAGTAGTAGTAGTAGTAGTAGTAGTAGTAGTAGTAGTAGTAGTAGTAGTAGTAGTAGTAGTAGTAGTAGTAGTAGTAGTAGTAGTAGTAGTAGTAGTAGTAGTAGTAGTAGTAGTGGTAGTAGTAGTAGTAGTAGTAATCGTAGTAGTAAAAGTAAAAGTAGTAGTAGTACCCAAAATAGTCGTAGTAGTCGTAGTGGTAGTAGTAGTCGTTTTCGTAGTAGTAGTCGTAGAAGTAGTAGTAGTAGTCGTCGTAGTAATAATAATAATAGTAGTAGCCGTAGTAGTAGAAGTAGTAGTAAGAGTAGTAGTATTAGTGGTAGTAACCGTAATAGTCGTAGTAGTAGTAGTAGTAGTAGTAGTAGTAGTCGTAGTAGTAGTAGTACAAATATTAGTAGTAGTGGTAGTAGTAGTAATAGCCGTAGTAATCGTAGTAGGGGTGGTAGTAGTAGTAATAGTCGAAATAGTGATAAAATGTAGCAATAGACATGGTAATAGTCGTAAGAATAGTCGTAGTCGTAGTAAGTGTAGTAGTAATAGTCGTAAAGTTAGAAGTCGTCGACGCAATAATAGCCGTAGTAGTAGGACTACGTCGTAGTAGTAGTCGGAGTAGTAGTAGTCGCAATATTAGTGGCGAGAGAACTCGAAATCATAATCTTAGCAGTCGTAGTCGTAATAGCAGTAGTAGTCGTAGTAGTAGCGCCCGTATTAGTAGTAGTAGTAGTAGTCGTAGTAGTAGTAGTAGTACTATTCGTCGTCGTGGTACTATAGTGGTAGTAGTAGCAGCAGCAGCAGTAGTAGTAGTAGTAGTAGTAGTAGTAGTGGTAGTATGAGTGGGGAATCAGTCGTAGTACTGCTAGTAGTAGTGGTCGTATAAGTAGTAGTAGTAGTAGCAGTAGCAGTAGTAGTAGTAGTAGTAGTAGTAGTAGTAGCAATATTAACAGTTGTGGTGGTACTCGTAGTAGAAATATTCGCAGTGGTAGTTGTAATGGTAATGGTAGTAATCGCAATCGCAAGTAGTAGTAGTAGTAGTAGTAGTAGTCGTAGTAGTGGTAGTCGTAGTAATAGTAGCGGTAGTAGTAGTAATAGTCGTAGTAAAAGTAGTAGTAGTAGTAGTAGTAGTAGTAGTAGTAGTAGTAGTAGTCATAGTAGTAGTAGTAGTAGTAATAATAGTAGGAGTAGTAGGAGTCGTACAACTACTAGTAGTAGTAGCAGTAGCAGTAGCAATAGTAGTCGTACTGATACTATAAGTAGTCGTAATAGTACGAGGCGTAGTAGTAGTAGTGGTAGCCGTAGTGGTGGTAGTGGAAGTAGTAGTAGCCGTGGTAGTAGCAGTAATAGTTTGTAGTAGTGGCAGTAGTAGTACTAGTCGTAGGAGTAGTACGTGTAGTAGTAGTAGTAGTAGTAGCAGTAGTGGTGGTAGTAGTAGTAGTCGTAGTAGTAGTAGTAGTAGTAGTAGTAGTAGTAGTAGTGGTAATAGGAATAACAGAAAAAATCGTATTAAAAATAGGCGCTGTAATCGTAGTCGTAGTCGTAGTAGCAGAAGTAGTCGGAACATTCGTAGTCGTAGTCGTGGTAGTAGTAGTAGTAGTAGTGGTAGTAGTAGTAGTAGTAGTAGTACTAGTAGTAGTAGTAGTAGTAGTAGTCGTAGTAGTAGTAGTAATAGTAGTAGTAGTAGTAGTAGTAGTAGTAGTAGTAGTGGTAGTAGTAATAGCAGAATAAGAAATAATACTAGTAATAATGGTAAGCGTAGTCGTAATTGTCGTGTTGGCCGCAATAGCAGTCGTAGTAGTAGTAGTCGTAGTACAAGTAGTAGTAGTAGTAGTAGTAGTAGTAGTAGTAGTAGTAGTAGTAGTAGTAGTAGTAGTAATAATAGTAGTAGTAATAGTCGTAGTAGTCGCCGTAGTAGTAGTAGACGTAGTAGGAGTAGTAGAAGTAGAAGTAGTAGTAGTAGTATTAGTAGCAAAAGTAGTAGTAGTAGTAGTAGTAGTAGTAGTCGTAGTAGTAGTAATAGTAGTCGTAGTAGTACTCGAAATTATGCAAGTAAAGGTTGTAGTACAAAGTGAAGTAGTAATAGCAGCAGCAGCACTAGTAGTAGTAGTCATAGTAGTAGTCCTGGTATTAGTAGTAGTACGACTACTACTACTACTAATACTACTGGCTGTTGTTGCTGCTTTGTAGCGGTAGGAGTAGTGGCAGTAGTCGTAGTCGCAGTCGTAGTAGTAATGTTCATACTAGTATTTGTCGCAGTCGTAGTCGTAGTAATAGTAGCCGTAGTAGTGCGAATACGCATAGTAGTAGTAGCAGAAGTAGTAGCAGAAATTGTCGCAGTAGTAGTAGTAGTAGTAGTAGTAATAGTAGTAGTCGTAGCAGTAGTTGCAATATTAATACAACAATATTATTATTAGTAGTAGTAGTAGTAGTACTAGTAATAGCAGTAGTAGTAGTAGTAGTAGTAGTAGTCGTAGTAGTAGTAGTAGTAGTAGTAGTAGTCGTAGTAGCAGTAGAAGTAGAAGTAGAAGTAGTAGTAGTAGTGTTTATACGAGTAATACTACTAGTTGTAAGATTAGTCGTAGTCGCACTCGTAGTCGTAGTAGTAGCAAACTAGTAGAATTAGTAGTCGAAGTCGTCTTACTCGTGGTCTTGATCGTAGAAGAAAGAGTCGTAGTAGTAGTAGTAGTAGTAGTAGTAGTAGCAGGAATAGTCGTAATAGTAGTCGTAGTAGTAGTAGTCGTGCGGTAGCAGCATTTGTTGTGTTGTTGTTGCTGCTGCTATTTAGTATCGCTAGTAGTGGTCATAGTATTCGTGAAAGTAGTTTGAGTAGTAGTAGCAGTAAGAATAATAGTAATAGTAATAGTATTCGTAGTAGTAGTGGTAGTAGTAGTAATACTAGTAGGGATAATAGTAATAGAAGTAGTAGTCGTAGTAGTCGCAGTAGTAGTAGTAGTAGTAGTAGCAGTAGTAGTAGTAGCAGTAGTAGTAGTATCAGTAGTCGTAGTAGTAGTAGTAGTCGTAGTAGTAGTAGTAGTAGTGGTGGTAGTAGTAGTAGTAGTAGTAGTAGTAACTAGTAGTAGTAGTAGTAGTAGTAGTAGTAGTAGTAGTAGTAGTAGTAGTAGTAGTAGTAGTAGTAGTAGTAGTAGTAGTAGTAGTAGTAGTAGTAGTAGTAGTAGTAGTAGTAGTAGTAGTAGTAGTAGTAGTAGTAGTAGTAGTAGTAGTAGTAGTAGTAGTCGTAGTAGTAGTAGTAGTAGTAGTAGTAGTAGTAGTAGTAGTAGTAGTAGTAGTAGTAGTAGTAGTAGTAGTAGTCGTAGTAGTAGTCGTAGTAGTAGTCGTAGTCGTAGTAGTAGTAGTAGTAGTAGTAGTAGTAGTAGTAGTAGTAGTAGTAGTAGTAGTACTAGTAATACTACTGACAGCAGTCTTACTGGGGAGGTAGGAGGGTGGGAGAAATGATGAGGGGAATGATTTCGAACAAACAGAAACTTCGGATCTTTCAGTTTCCCTCGACACAACGAACACAGGAACATTTTCAAGTCCTCGTTGTGGGTGGGACCACGTCAGAGATCTCCGACGGTAGTAAGCCCCAGGGAGAAAACAGTTCGCCCGTGCGTACCGGTAAGTAGTAATCGTCAAGTGATGTGTTCAACCCCGCTATTCGCGACGTGTAAAGGTGACAAGGAGAACTTCCAAGACCCCTCGGTTCGTAAAACAACACGGAGGACACTTCAACATCGACTTGCAATTCCCGGCCTCTTGGGCCCCTCGCCAGGACTCGGGACCAGCACAGAGGACTCAAGAGGAACAGATCCTGGGGAATGGGCTGAGAATCTGGGAGTCGGCGTTGTATGTACATCGTGGCCTGGGTTTGGAAACTAGCACATGGCCACGTCCTTATTGAGGGCTGTGGGTATGCGTCGCACGCAAGAGATCGGTGCATGAAACATGAGCACGATGGCCAACAGCACATGTTGTCCATCATCGGCAGCGGCCCTTGTTGGGCAGGTGAATTTTTGTCTCAAGTGGACAGCGCCCGTGGCGAAGTAGACAACAATTTCTGTTCAGAAGGGGCAAGAATTGCTGTGAGTCTTCGTCCGCATGCTTTCCATCCCCATCTCGGTCCTCCAGATTGTGAGCGTTTTCTTATTCGGGGTTTCGACATTGGGCGGAATGGGGGGAAGGGGGGGGGGTCTGGCTCTGGACTTCTGCTTAGCGCGACCAGTGCGTACTATGGAGGAGACTCTAACTGCCTGAAACAAGCGCCAAAAACAGCCAAGATCGGGGGGGATGGGGAGGGGGTACGAGGGCCCGCGCCGATCGGCAAAATAATGAATAACAAAACGATCACATGTGCGGACATTGTTCGGTTTTCTGGCCTATCTGCACACTATGGCCGGCTGACAGACAGAAAGCCCAAATTGCAAGCCACGCGCGGAAACTGCTGTATATTCGTCTGCAACTCCCGCCCTTCTGACTTCCGTCCCAGGGAAGCCCTGGCCGCAATCCACGCTCTTGAATGCGGGCCGGTCGTGGTTCGAGCCACAGATCTCGTAGTCGCCTGCGGAACAGAAACGTATACCACCACCAAGCCTCCGCAGGGCCGCCCTGGGCCAGGATCTTGCGGGATGCGGCCTTCTGGCCCGGCCAGGAACCAGGACCCAAACCGGAGGTGGGCCCAAACTGGGGGGCCTTGTTCGCGTTGGTGGTTGCTCCCAAACTTCCGACGTGATCGTGGACGACTGTCTTTGACGTCGAACGAGGGGGGTAAGTGAGAAGGAGAAGGCCCTCTCAGAAGGCCCGAAAGTCACCTGGCCTTCTGAGAAGTGTTCTCAGCCTTTCCCAGAGACGCAGAAACCCATCAGAAGGCGCGAGGGCTTCTCCTTCTGAGGAGGCCTTCTCCCTCTCACTTCCGCCCTTGCTCGCCGCTGATGGCTGGAGCTCTTGGCACCGGGGTTGAACAAATCGTTAGGCCAGTGGTCTGGGATCCTCGATCCTCTTCTCCTCTCTGTCGCAGTGCACGCCGCAACGGGTACTGCGGTCCGAGCATCCCGAGATGCCTTACAAAAATGATAGTAAGGATGCGCGCTAAGGATGCAAAGGCCTTGGAAGGTCATGCCAACACTCTTCGAGCGGGGCGCGGCCAGCGAACGTGGCCAGGGGTGGGCCGAAGGGAGAGGATGCAAGGGAAACCTTGGAAAATCGCTCGGTCTTACCAGCCAGTCGGAAGTATATAGAAACATTGAGTAGGAAGGTGAAAGTAGATTGGGTTGGGGCTCGCCCAAAGAAGAATACCGAACAACAAAACCATCGACTCTTGAGGTAGGAAAGCGTTTTAAACTAGACTGGATCTGGGAGCCCGAATACCTACTTCCCACGACTGGCGTGGACTGGCAATGCTGACTATGTATGAAAAACTTGGGGCCATGAGCTGGCAAGAGAGGCGGCGAACTATATATATATAGGTATACATATATATATATATATATATACATGGCGGGTTTCCGTGTGTTCTGTTACTTGCCTCTTCTCCCAGCCGTCCCCCGGCACCGGGGGCAACCCCTGCAAAGAACTCATTCAATGTCACCTTCCAGCGTGAAGCACATACACCCAGGTCATGCTACTACTGATATTTCGACTGAATGCGAATCTCCAGTTTACACGTGGACATCTTGACGCGCGTGCCACACACTCTCAAGAACATACCTCCGATTATCCCTAATAAGAGAGGCTTCGGTCAATCCGCACATGCTCGCACACGATTCGTATCGGTCACGGCCCCGCCAAGAGCCTTCCCGAGGATGGGATGGCATCCCCCGAATCGCGCGGCCCTGGCAGTCGGAGCCCAGAGTTCCGAGTATCCGAGGATGTCTCTGGCGAAGCGGGCCAAAGTGCCAGGGCATCTCGCAGCCCGGGGGGTCCGAAGATGGCTCGACCGAAACGGGTCTGAGCACCTCGCTAACTGCATCTCCGAACTCAGAATTGTAAAGATGTCTCAGGTGAAACGGGCCAGATCACCTTATCTCGCAGCCGGGGGGTCCGAGGATATCGACCGACACGGGCCTGAGCACCTCGCGAACCGCATCTTCGAACCCAGAATTGTGACGATGTCTCAGGAGGCGAACGGGTCAGGGCACCTCAAGTCAAGCCATCTCGGAACCTGGGGTTCCGAGGATGTCTCAGGCGAAACATGCCTGAGCACCTCGCGAACCGCAAATTGGAACCCAGAGTTGTGAGGATGTCTCAGGCGAAATGTGCCATAGCACCTCAGTCAGGGCATCTCGGACCCGGTGTTCCAATGATGATAGAAGTGAAACGGGCCAGAGCCTCTGTGGCTCATGGGGCGCACCGAACTCTTTTAAGGCAACCCTTTCCCGGAACCTCCCTGGCACCGCCGTTGGGGTCGCCGGGTCTGCCCAACGCTGCCCCAGGCGATCCCAGCACCCGGGCTCAGGTGCCTCGCCCCCCCGCCAGCCAAGCATGATAAGCCCTGGAGGGGTCCGAAACAGCCCCAAACGCTAACCAAAAAGCCAAAAAGGACCATGCGGCTCTGAAAAGACACACGTCCACCTGCCAAAACAAGCGGACCATTCGAGACATGCCCGCAATCTGAACGCGAACGGGCCCGTGAAACGTCTTGGTCGGCAGTGCACTGGCCACCATCGCAAGGCATGATCGAGCCGCGTGCAGCCCTGGCGACGAGGAGTGTCCCGGGAGCATCGGAAACACAAGCACCTGTCTGACAGTAATACGATCATTATACTTCCACCTCCTGTTCCTTTTACTCCTTCTCCTCCTCATCCTCCTCCTCCTCTTTCTCTTCGCACTCCTCCTCAGCGGTTGCTCCCCTCGCACGCGGCATCTCTGTGCCCAGAAATGCGGGGACGTCATGGGCGAAACTGGCCGGGTCGGCTCGCAGGCGCCATCGTGATCTGTCGCCAAGCTTCTGGGGGACCTCTTCACCCCTCCTGGGGGACTCCTGGGGCGAAGATCTCGGGTTTTCGGTTCACGTTCCCGATATTGGGATCTGGCCCATCTCGCCACCGTTCCTGGGTTGTGGGTTAAAGGCCTCTTGGACGTTCGTTTGGAATTCGTGGGGGGCTTCCCGGGGGCCAAGGCAGTTTTGGAAGCCTCTTGGGGTCCGTTTGGGGTGCTCGTGGGGCGTCTTTTTGGGCCCCTTTGGGGCCTCATGGGGTCTCTAGGGGGCCTCTAGAGGGCCTCTTGGGCTCTGTTGGGGGCCTCTTGGGGCCTCCTGGAGGCCACTTGGGGCGGAAAGCTCTAATTGTCGGTTCGTGCTCCCCCTCTCGCGCCCCTCTTAGGGCCGTTTTGGGGCCCTCTTGGGCGATCTTAGGTGCCTCTTGAGCCGTCTTGGGGCACTCTTGGGCCGTCTTGGGACTCTCTTGCGCCGTCGTGGCGCCCTCTTTGGGTGCCTCTTGGGCTGTCTTGAGGTGACTTCTGGGGCCTCGTGGGCTGTCTTGGACCGTCGGAAGCATGAAACAGCGAGAACACGACAAACCTTCAACCAACATCGGGAAACCTACTTCTTTCGCCGCCTGGGTGCCTCGTAGGAATGATTATTGAAGGTTATCTTGGCCGTCTTGAAGCCCTCTTGGGCTGTCCTCAAGCCATGTTGGACCAATTTTGAAACGCTCTTGTGCGGTCTTGGGCTCTCTCGGAACGCTCTTGGGCCATCTTGGCGCTCTCTTGGACGTCTCTCGGCCCCCTTTGACGTTTTTTGGCGCCCCCCGCCGGGCCCGAGACGGCTGGAAGACAAATCAGTATACTTTTGGGGTGCCAGGGCCCCCCTACCCATAATATATATATATATATATATATATACACATATGTGTATATGTGTGTATATATATATATGTGTGTGTATATATGCACTAGTGTGGACCCGTGGAGTAAATCCACGGAGCTGCGTGAGTCGAGGTTAGCCGACGCGCGCTTCTGTCTCCGGCGCGCAAATTCCAGCAAGCTGCGGTGTGCGATCGGCAACCAACGTGGAATCGATGATTTTCGCCTCTTCAAGCCCTCTTGGGGTTCCTCCTGGGGCTCTTTTGGGGCGCGCGATGCCCTCTGGGGCCAGCTTCACAGCATCTAGGGCCGTCTTGGGGTCCTCGTGTGCAGGCTCGGGGCCCTCTTGGCCTGTCTTGGGGGCCTCTTGGGAGCTTGTTGGGCCGTCTTGGGGGCCTCATGGGGTCTATTGGGCCGTCTTGGAGGCCTCTTGGGCCCCCCTTGGGCCCCTCCGGGGCTGTCTTGGGGCTTTCTTGAGCTCCTCTTGGCTCTGGGCAATCCTGGAGGTCTCTTGGGCCGTCTGGGGGGTCCAAACGGTTGAGAGCGCGAGAATCTCAGAATCCGTAAGAAACCCACGGAAAATCTTTTCGGCCTCTTGGGGCCCTCTAGGGTGTCCCCTCGGAGCCGTCCTGGGGCGTCTTGGTGGCCTATGGGGCCGTCTTGGGAGCATCTTAGGCCGTCTGAGGGCGGTCTTGGGCCATCTCGGGGCTGTCTCTGGTCGCCTCGGGGCCTCCTTGGGCCATCTCGGGGCACTTCTGGGGAACTCCAGTGCCGTTTCGTGGCCCTCCGGTGCCGTTTCGGGCTCTCCAAGGGGCTCGGGGAGCCGGGGGCCCTCATAAACCCGCAAAGCTTCTTACGGATTTATCTGAATGTACACACATATACGTGTGTATATTAGAACCATCGCGCGCTTCGCGCGCGCTCAAATTCTAGCTAGTGTTGATGGGCTAACTCATGGAATACATCCATGGACTCTCTTGGAGGCCCTGCGCAAGCCTCGGAACCGCACAGGAGGGGAACTGTGGAAACGCGGAAATCATTAATTTCTGTCAGGGTTTCAACGATTTGGGGCTCTCAAAGGCTTCCTGGTTTCTTTTCTGGGAGCTGAGAGGGGGCCTTCATTGTGGTCTGTTGTGCGAGAGTGGACAGGGGGGGACGAACTTGACCAAAAAAAGAATTGTGGGATTTCTTTTTTTCAAGTTGCCGTACCTGGGCTGTGGGTTAGATGTTTTCTGGATGCATGCCACGGCCTTTTGGGATGCCTCTCGGGGTCTTCGTGCAAAAATAAACAGAGGATGATTTCGGGGAAAAAATGATTTTCATACTGTTTCAATTCATGGGATCATGGGATCTCGATTTTTATGCTGGTTTCAGGGGCAGCCGAAAGGCTGCGAAGACGATTCAAGAGAGTGCCAAGACAGCGTCAGAGGGTTCAACAAGATTCCCGACAACTCTTTGCATGTGACCCCGAAGTCTTTATGAGGCTCGAGGAAGAAGATAATGAGTAGGAATCCCAACTCGGGAAAAAGGGAACCTGTGGACTTTTCTGAGGTTCCTCGGTGTTTGAGCGTTGGAAGCGGGATAACGTGAGAAGGCGAACCGCGTACAACAAACCAGTGGAAATCACCGATTTTACCCTGTTCGGGCTCTCTCGGGACAGCTCTCGAAGCTCTCTTGGGCTGTGTTTTGGGGCCTCGTCAGGGCTTTTTCTGGGCTTCTCAAGGGTCTGGAGTGTGTTGGGGGCCTCTGGGAGGTTCCGGAGGCCCCTCGGAGGGGTCTCTGGAGACCTCCTGCTCCTTCCTGCTCTTGGGCCCATCTTGGGCCTGTTCTGAAAGGTCTGGGGCTGTCCTGGGCGCCTCTTCGGCAATCTTGGGACCTTCTTGGCCCGTCTTGGGGCCGTCTGGGGAGCCTCTTGGGCGGTCTTGGGGCGGTTTTGGGAGGCTGTTCGGCCGTCTCGGAGCGTTGGAAGCATGACATGGTGAGAAGGCCAAAAACCTAAACAACAAACAATGACACTTAACGCCTTTAGGTTCTCCGGACGCTCTCGGAAGGCCTCTCGGAGCTCTCTTAAGGTCTTTTGGAGGCTTCCTGGCAACCTGGAGAGCCGACCGAAGACTATCTTGGGTTGCTTGGGAGCGTCTTGGGCTTTTCTTTTACGTCCTCTTGGGGTCGTCTTGGGCTGTCCGTGGGCGTTGTGCGGGTCCTCTGGGGCCGGAACGCGCGGTACCGGGAGCGTGAGGCGAATGTCACAGGGAGGTGTGGGACCCCAGGGAGGGGGGAGAGCGTATTCGTTGAACTTGGAACAAGATGGAATCTATTGATTTCCTTTTTTTTTAGTTCCCCAGTCTTTGAGCGTTGGAAGCGGGACAACGTGAAGGGCGAAAAACATACTAAAAACCTATGGGAACAAACGATTTTACCCTCTTCGGGCTATCTCGAGGCGGCTCTCGAAAGTCTCTTGGGCTGTTTTTGGGGCCTCGTAGGGGCTTTTTTGGAGCCTCTCAGGGGTCTGGGGTGTGTTGTTTTGGAGTCTCTCGGAGGTCTCTGGGGGCCTCCTGCTCCCGCTCTTGGGCTCATCTTGGGCCTGTTCTGGGGTGGTCTGGAGCTGTCCTGGGCGCCTCTTCGGCAATCTTGGGACCTTCTTGGCCCGTCTTGGGAGCCTCTTGGGCGGTCTTGGGGCGGTCTTGGGGGCCTCTTCGGCCGCGTCGGAGCGTTGGAAGCATGACATGGTGAGAAGACGAACAAGAAACATAGACAAAACAAATGACAATTAGCGCTTTTAGGTTCTGCGGGCGCTCTCGGGAGGCCTTTCGCGGCTCTCTTGTGGTCTCGTGGACGCCTCCTGAGAGCCTGGAGGGCCGCCCGAAAACTATCTTAGGTTGCTTGGGGGCGTCTTAGTCTGTTCTTGTACGTCCTGGGGGCTTCTTGGGGTCGTCTTGGGCTGTCCGTGGGCGTTTTGGGGGCTCCCCGCGAGGCCGGGAAGCGCGGTACCGGGAGCGTGAGGCAGATGTCACAGGGAGGTGTGTGACCCCCAGGATGGGATGTTTATATTATATGTACACATCCAGGGCCCCTCTCCTTCTGGACCCTCTCCCAGATCCCCGACGCCGCGTTCATCTCACAGCGAGGGCCCCCAGAATGTCGGCTGCACGCAGGCGTGACCCAAAACAATAATGAAATTGTAGCGGAAGAACAAACGGCAAAAGCATAAACTTTTGGAGGTCCGCGCGGGTCTCTAGGATCTGTGCTAGCTGCTAGATCCCCTCCGTAGCGCGCGGACTGTGCCAAGGGCGGCGCCCGAGAACCCGCCGAGGGGCCCCAACGCGGATCCAAGAAATCCGCGCGAAGCGCCACAAGTTCACGTATGTTTGCACGCCTGTCGGAAGGCGTGGGTAGAAACATGAAGTGGGAAGGCGTTGAAGTAGATTGGGCTTCCACCCAAGGCGTTAGAAGTAGATCGGGCTTCCTCCCCCCTGAAGAGGAAGGACGAGGGAAGCCAGTCGATCCTTGAAGTAGGAAGGCGCCAAGACTAGATTGGGACCTGGTAATCCAAAAATACCTTCTTTCAACGAAAGGCGTGTGTGTGTGTGTGTGTGTTTGTGTGTGTGTGTAGGGAGACGGCCGAGGGGCCGTTCCTATACGGGGTCTGTAGGTAGAGGCAAGGAGGAGGACTCCTTATCCAGGGCATTGCACAGGGGGGCAATGCACTGTCAGTGTTAGTGCCAATTCCTGAGCCGATACAGTTGTGGTATGTGATGATATAGTGGGGATATGAGCGGACTCCACACACAGTGTATGGCGTTTTCTTCTTCGATTTCAGTGCGCGGCTTCACGGGGGACGCGGGGTGGCCGCCCCCAGGCGCGTAGGCCGCTGCTGCAGGGGCCGCTCCGGCGGAGAGTCGCTGACTCTCACGTCGAGTCGAGGATTGGGCGTTGCTTTCTGGGGGGCGTCGCCTACAAGAAGCCTTCCACAAGAAACCCAAGCCTGACACACCCGGAAGTCCACTGCTTTTTGGTATGGGAGCGTCACATCTTTCACAGCAAAACCATCGGAATCCAAGTAGCCCAGGGCACCCTGTGGGGGGCGCCGCTTAAAGCGCCATGAAGCGAAGAACACGTCCGAAACGGGTCTTGCGCGAGATGACCCAGCGACCTTGCGAGGCGGCTTGCGCGGGCCGCCAGCGCGGCACGCCATTTGAGGAAAACGAGGGCGCCTACGCGCGACAGTGACGCGGGCAGCTTGCGCGCCACTGTCGGCGCAGACGACCCCGGGCTTTTCCCTGCGTCGCGCAAGTAGGCGTTGCTCAACGGGGGGGGGGCGTTGCCGAGGAGGGGGAGGAGGAGGAGGAGGAGGAGGAGGAGGAGGAGGAGGAGGAGGAGGGGAGGTGGAGGAGGAGTGGAGGAGGAGAAGAAGGAGGAGGCGGAGGAGGCGGAGAAGGCGAAAGAGGAGGAAGAGGAGGAGAGGAGGAGGAGGAGGATCAGGGGAGGAGGAGGGGGAGGAGGGGAGGAGGGGGAGAGGAAGAGGAGGAGAGGAGGAGGAGGAAGAGGAGGAACAGGAGGAGGAGGAGGAGGAGGAGGAGGAGGAGGAGGAACAGGAGGAGGAGGAGGAGGAGGGCGACGATAGCGTCAGAAAAAAAAACCTCGAGAAACTCACCTCTGGGGCCCCCGAGCTCGCCGACCGCGCGCCGACGACCCCCGGGGACGCCCCGCCGCTCCGCGGGAGGCGACCTGGCCCTGACGCCCGCCGAGGCAAGGTGCCTCGCGCCGGCCCTCCTGGACACGGGTCGAGGGCTTCATTGGTGGGCCCTGGAAGCCCAGAGATCCGGTGTCGTGATTTGCTCCATGCGCCAAGGCTGAACACGGTGTTTTTGGCTTTCGTTTTGTCATCGTTGTCCCTCGCTTTGGTCTCGAGTCCGTCTTTACCGCAAAACGAAGTCGAAACGAGAACGGCCCACGAAATCACCAAAAATACTGTTTGGGTCCAGCCCTGCCATGCGCGGTCCCCGGCAGTCTTGACCCCCTTTTCATCCCGAGTCGTTTCTTGACGGTCCCGAGGCCCGGCGAGGGCCCTTATAAGAGCCGAAATTTGTGAAAAGCCTCCGCCCTGATTTCTTCAATGCGCTGGATCTCTGGAAACGACGGGGCCGTTTTTGTCATCGGTTCGGTTTTGCCGTTTCTGTGTTGCTGGTTCCGTCGCCGTTTGTTTGCCGGTACCGTCGCCGTTTGTTGTTGCCGGTTCCAGTTCCGGCTCCAATCCTGGAGCCGTTTTTTGTTGCTGCTTCGCGACGCGGCTTTTTTACCGCTTCTATTTTCCAAGGATTTGTTGTCAAAAAATGTGAACTAAAACGGCCCTGCCGTTTCCGAGGCCCTCTAAGGTCGAGGGGGCCCACGGGAACACACAAGTAAATAGGCACAGATCCCAGGATCCCCCTAGACTTTCGGACGTCGATTTCATCTCAACGTCGTGCAAGGTGGTCGTTGTCGTCGTCGTCGTCGTCGTGGTCGTCGTGGTCGTGGTCGTTCAGGGTCGGCGGCAACGGCCGTAAGGCCTCTCCAACGAATAAGCACAAATATCCAAGGATCCCCCATACTTATTCGTATATTTCCTGGGCTTTCGTCTTCCCCTCTACTTCCCAGATCTTTCCCACATTTTCTTGGAAATCGAGGGTTCTCTGTGCGAGCTGCGTGGGGCAGCGAAGACGCGTGCACCAGTTGTGCTCCTTTTGGGCCCCCTGGGGGCCTTTGAGGCTTCTGCACGAGAGGCGCGCCTTCCTTCACTCCCCCAGTTATCGCCCCCCCGATGAAGCAACGCCCGACCAGAAATAGACGAGCGCGTTCCACTACTCGCAAAATACTCGCAAATGGCTTGGATACGCCGCGGGGGATCTACGATAAGTTACACCAAAACCGAGATATGTTTTTTCGGACGTTTGCGAGTAGGCACTTTGCGAGTAGTGGAACGCGCTCGGTGAAGCCTCGCTGGGGACTGTTTCTTCGTCCCGAACCGTTTTCTGCCTGACGGTCCCCAAGCCCGACGAGGGCATCCGGAGGCCGACAAAAGGGTCGCCTTCCGTCGTGGCTTTTCCACCACGCTGGAACAGCCTGAGATCCGGCATCGCGAAACATCCAGCATCGTAGAACCTCACAACCTGGGCCCTCGACCCCATCTTTCTGCGACATCTCTCGAGCTGGATCGATCCGCGCGAGCTCCATATGGGCCCTCCGAGGGGCGAAAGGCACTCGGCATGAGAACACTGTGACGCCTGGATATCTGGGGGCCCCTGATCTGAGTGGGCGGTTCTGGCTCACGGGGGGACTAGAAGCCTCCTAGACGGGGTCGGAACATCGCGCCTAATCACCGATGCATCGGCGATGCATCGGGGATGCGCCGGCGATGCATCGTCGACGTCGGCGATGCATCGGCGACGTCGACGTGAAGCAAATCGGGCTCCACATCGAGCCGCGTCGGCGATGCATCGGCGATGCGGCGCGTTCCTCATACCCCATCTACTCTTTGGACGCCAGAAGTGGGTAGGAAAAAATGGGTACACTGCCCAACAACAAATACTGTCCAAAACCAACAGCGGCCGCTGTGGGGCAGGCGGCCTTCTGTCTTCAGTGAGCAACGTCCGCGGCGGCGCGGACAGCGAGCCCTGTTCAAAAGGAGCACTGACTGTTGCTGGGCATCGTGCGCATTTTTTCCGTACCCCAATCGTTCGTGCCGATGCTCCGACCCCATCTAGGAGGCCCAGAAAGCCGCATTCAGCGGGGCATCGGCCCGCCCCCCGCGGCTAGGGGTGGGCGCCTCGGGGTCGATGCCCCTCTCCCCCCGGAGCCTGTCCCCCCCTACCTCGGGCGGGTGGTGCTCGCAGGGGCCCAGGGACACACAAAGAAATACGCACACAAATCCTAGGGTTCCCCATACCTTTCCATCTGTTCAGGAATTTCGTCTTCCCACCCGCTTCCCTTATTTTCCCACGTTTTCCTGGAAATCGACAGTTACTTGTGTCTATATGTATGTGTGTTGTTCCCACCTGACCGTAACGGAGGGTGACCTCAATGGGGGTGACGAAAAGTGTCCTGAAGGGGCCCTTTAGGGCCCTTTGGAGCCAACAGGGGCCCAAACGGGGCACTAAAAGGGCCACTTCGGGTCCTATTCTCCACCCCCCATTCAAGTCATCCCTCCTATGACCACCTCACCCGCCCGACTGACGCTGTCCCTTGGCTTCGGGTCACAGCTCGGCTCTCCGGCTGCACTTGGGGATGACCTGGGCCCCCCCCCCCCCGGACCGCCGCGGCGCATCTGCCAGGGCGTATCCCGAGGGTGGACAACCTTGAGGAACCGACGACAAATTTCGAAAACCCCAGCTCATCCACCCCTTAACGTAGAGCCCTCCTAGATGGGGTCTGGGTAGATGGGGTCGGAGGATCGCACCGCATCGCCAATGCATCGCCGATAGATCGGCCATACATCGGCGATGCATCGGCGACGTCGGCGACGCGTCGGCGCCGTCGGTGTGGATAATGTCGGGCCCCGCATCGAGCCGCATCCCTGACGCATCGGCGTTGCGGCGCGATCCCCTGACCCCACCAAGGTCTAGATCAGACGAGGTGGGTGGGCACGTGGCCTCTGGCTCCTGGCGTCTGGACACATGCAGATGTTAGAGTTGCCCCTGGTGTCGGCGGCGCGCAGAGGGGGGGGGTATGGAGGAGGGTGGAAGGCTTCTGAGAAGGAGGCTGCTTCGTAGAAGCCGCCAGCCTTACGTCCATAGAGAAGACCCGCGCCATCCAAGAAGCAACATCCTTCCAAGAAGCCTTCCCCCCTCCCTCTACAGCCGAAATCTATAGTAAGGACGGGCGGTGAGGACGCCAGGGCCTTGGACGCTGAAGTTGGCACGTCTTGGGGTGGCGGGCTGCCAGCACCATGAGGGGCTGGCCAGTGCACACCGCGAAGGACGGGCCGCAAAGGCAAGGAGGCAACGGGTACCCTGAGGACATCCGGGCGTCCTTGACTGTGCCCTTCGGTCGGGCATGTCCTCCCGCAGGCGGATTTTGAAAGGAACACAGAACAGAGTCAAAAAACATTCCAAAATGACAGACACATCGTTTTCATACTATTTTTGTTTATTTTTTTTTTGCAAATTACTTGTGCAGAGGATATGCCCGGCTTCACTGTACCCGCTGGTGCTCGCCGTGCACGCCGCATGCGGTCGTCGGGTCCGAGCACCCCGAGACGCGCACTGCCAGCCGCCGCCCGCCGCCCGGCTCCGCCGAGGACGCGGCGCCCGCGGCGCCGCCCACGGCGGCGGGCGCCGCCGCGGCCGCCGCGGCCGCCGCGCGGGCCGGCGACGCGGCGGGCGAGGAAGCGGAGGTGGACCGGGACCTTGGGCAGGCTCAAAAAACTGGCATGTTCAATTGGGCGACGATCAAGAAGGGGCCAAAGGGGCCTTACGCGAGATGACGTAGTAACCTTACGCGGCGGCTTACGCGGGCCGTGGCGCGGTACGCTACATTAGAGACGAAGGCGCTACATGAGGTGGACCGGGACCTCGGGCGGGCTCCCAAAAACTGGTTGTGGAAGAAGAAAAAGAAACGCCATAAACATACGCTTTTGGCGCTCCGCGCGGACTTCTCGGATCTGCGCTGGACCCCCCCGGGCGCGCGGAGCGCGCCTGCATGGGGCGGTGCCGGAGGCGCCGCCCGAAGCCGCGCGAAGCGCCAAAAGTTTATGTTCATGGGCTTTTTCTTCTTCGAAATGTTCAATGGAAACATACTCCAATCAAAGAACCCCTGGAAAGCTCCCCGGACAACCTGTGCGGATTACTCTGACGACAAGGACCTGCCCCAGACGACCCCTGTGACAACCTAGCGGAGGTCCAAACAACCCCACACTGAGCAACCCCAATTGGGCTAGCCTCTCCGGGAATTTCTTCAATAAGACACAGTAGAGGCCTCCCAGAAGGGTCCGAGTAGATGGGGTCACAGGATCGCGCCGCATCACCGATGCATAGATTATGCATCGACGATGCATCGGCGACGTCGGCGGTGCGTCGGCGACGCCAGCGTGGAGAAATCCAGGCTCCACATCGAAGCGCATCGCCGATGCATCGGCGATGAAACGCGATCCTCCGACCCCGTTCAGGATGCCCAGAAAACCAGCTCTGTCTCCCCAGACTCCCTTGCGTTGCGAAAATTCGCCTAGCGAAGGGCCCAACCATATGCAGTTTTGAATACCGTCGGTGTGCGTATCGGCTTCGGTGGATCTCCGTATGGGGCCACGAAGCGCGTAAATGGTGTGGCGAAATGTGGCGGGGCAACCATGCGGGCGCTGTCACTGGGGCCTTCGAGCATCGCGGGGGGAATGAACTGAAGGAGAGGGGCCAGCAACAGGGGCAACTGGAGCCTTCGGTGGAGCTCCCTATGGGACCACGAAACGTGTGAGAGGTGTGTCGAAATGGCGGGTGGGATCGCATGCGAGCGCTGCCCCTGGAGACTTCGGTGGAGCTCCCTATAGCTTAGCCCTATCGGGCCACGGAACGTGTGAGGGGGTCGCCGATATGGAAGGTACAACACCATGCGGGCGCTGCCACTGGGGCCTTCGGTAGAGCTCCCTATGACATAGCCCTATCGGGACACAGAACGTGTGAGGGGGTCGCCAAGATGGAAGGCGGAACCCCATGCGGGCGCTGCCACTTGGGCCTTCGGTGGGGCTCCTCATGCGGCCACGGAACGTGTGAGGGGTGCGCCGAGTGGAGGGT